CCCCCTCCCCCTTTTCTACCATCTCTCTCCCGCCTCCGCCGGTATCACTGCGTCCCCGCCGAATAAAAACAGCAAACTGCTTTTATGGCGGCTCCCGGCCCCACACCCTTTGGAGCGCCCCTCCCCGTCCCTCCGGAGGTGGCGGCGGCGTGGCCCTTTGGAGGCCCCTCGGGAGGGGAGGAGGGGTCGTAATGATAAGGGCGTTATCAATCAGGATTGTCGTCTCGGCTCATCGCCATAATGGTCGTGAGGAAATATGGGCGGTATCCTTCCACTCCACGGCCCGGCGGCTCCGGCAGCGGGCGCGCGCGGGGATAGGCAGCCGTTGTCCCCCGGCGCGGCGGCGGCGCGGACCAGACCGACTCGAATCCACACAAAGTACCCTGCGCGTCTCCACGGCGGCAGCGGAAGACCGCCGTTGAGCGGTGAGTGCTTCGTGCGGAAGAGGACGCTGAGTGAACAGGTAACGGTCGGGCAGCGAACGGGTTGGTGCTGGTCGAGATTCCACGCCACCGCCATCCTGTCTATGCCGCCTTCCACCACGCCCCCTGCCCCCTTCTTTTCCACTCCACTCTCTTCAGGAAACTCCATTTGTCCGACGTGAGGACGACGACGACGACCGGGGGATGGAGGAATGTGAGCGCGACGATCGGACGTTCGGTGGCGAGCAGTTCCAGTGAGAAACAGCACTTGAATCGACATCGAAATCGTCTTGGAACCAACGCCGGAACTGAGGAATCGACGTCGAAAACGATAGCGATTCAAAATGTATTCCTCAGTGAAAGTGCGATCTTCACTTTCTTTTTAAACTATCCGAGTGCGGCGGTCATTGCCCTGCAACATACCCGATTTTAATTTGTAGACGTTGTAGTATTTATAGTCATCTGCCTACTGCGAGGCCTACTGCATCCGAGTTCACTTGCTTTACGTCGCACTTTGTGAACCCCGAGGTGAACCCCCACCGAACTGCATTTCCGATACCCCCTCCCCCTCCTCCCCCTCGTCTCCCTATCTCTGCAAAGCCAGTTGTCCAGTAGCTCTTTGCCTCGTTTGTGTGTTCTCCTCACC